TTTTACAATATTCTACATGCACTTTACTCTTTTATCTTTACCAGTGTAGCATATAAGGAATAGTCAGTGTCGAACATCCCCTTGGTGCTAAAATAGAGAGATTTCATTAAACTTGCTTATAATCCGGATGCTGTTCTGTTCTTCTTACAGTTGCAAGGGTCCTTTGTCTAGCTGCAGCTTGAATTTGTTTAATGGAAGAGGAACAGACTGGTGCAAAACCCATATTCTCTCCTATTCTCTCCTTTTTTCAAATTGTAGGAGCCTTTTTTATGGGAGTGTATGGTATGTGCTTGTGGAAGGGTGTCTTTGCTTGTTTGGTTTGGTTTTTGAACAAGTTGCTGATAGGATCATAGTATTGCATTACTTCTGAAGACGACTTTGGCTTACACCTTTTTTAGAGGTTGTTTTGCAATCTGTTAGTCTTATATATTGATTATTCTTTCCTTTACAGTCTAGTTTCTGTTTCATGTTGTTTCTGTTATTACATAAAGAATGTCTCTTCTAAGGAGAGTCCCTTGAACAATGCAAGATTAAAACCTTGTCTTTTTCTTTATTTTTTTAATGTAGAGGGGCTTATTAGTGTTTTTGCCTGTAACTTAATAACAGCAGGCTATAAAAATCTGATATTTGGAAAAATAAGCTAGTCTGAATTCTGTGGGTGTCTGTGTATATATACATTTATTTATACATATTTGTTTTAGGAATAACTTTGAATATCTTTATGAAGAGCATATTTAGATTTTTGCTTTCAAATAGCAGTGGATACTAAAGTTTGGTTAGTGCAATGCATCTTATTAATCGTCAAACTCTGCTAGCTATGATTTTGGAACATAAAACATGTATGAAATTCCCTGTTGGTCTTGCATGTCGTGTATCTTATTTGCAGTCATATCGGCAATGATGAGTTTTGAGAGGGTTTTTTTTGTATTTTTTCCTGGTTAGCATTGTTTAAACTGCATTTTGTTTCTCGCTTGTGTATTTTTTTGATTCCACAAGATTCTTGTGATACAATAACCCAATTATATTCGAGTGAAAACTCTTACTAAAGCAGCGTACTGCTGCTTTGGATGGGATAGTGAAATTTAAATAATGTTGTTGCTTAAATGTTTTTTTTTAAAGATGTATACATATTAATTTTGCTAGAAAGAATTTTCCCAAATGGATGGCTAGCTGTATTTCTTAGTGTCTTGATAAGCTACTACTTTTGCACAAACTAATACGTATGACTTCCTGAAGACACGAACTTGTATGACTTTACAGTTTGGCTAAGCTCAAATCCGTTTTCAGCTTTTACATTACTTGATCTGAGTGACAAAGGTAGATGGCACTTATCTGAAAATCAATAGGAGATCTTTTTAAAATATATTGCTGTAGTTTGTGGATTTGATTGTGATGGTGTTTGAATTTAAACAGGTCAGGTGAATAACTGAAATATGGAAAAGGAAATATTCCTTCCCTCAAAACTTTTTTGAAAAATGTATAGCCCACCTACAGATGGTTTGGGCCCCCTAGTTGGTATGATGCCTTTTAGGGAGCGAAAATAAAAATGACTGTGTTCTCTTACAGCAGTAAAACATAAATGATAGAACAGCAACTCATGGATACAAACCTAGCCCAGAGGCTGTGATTTCAGCTAGAAATGAGGGACGAGTGTTGGCTGAATGGTCAGTACACTGATATCAGTGGGGAAATTTATTTATGTATTTTTTAAAGGAACCTTTTAATATTTTTTGTTATATATTTGCTATATAATTCTATAACAATGGAGTGTTCCTGTTACGGGAATATAAGTGCTTTTTGGAGTACTAATGTAAATACACATCCTTACTGATCTCGATGCTTTCTTTCTTGAAGGACTACTACCCCAGGCGAGACTAAGCTTCTGGCTTCAGAGGTCTATGACATCCTACAGTCTTCCAACATGTCAGACATGGACAGTATGAACGAGATGAACTATCGCCGACGGAAAGCGCAGTTTTTCTTGGGCAGCACAAATAAACGTGCCAAGACAGTGGTTTTACATATAGATGGCCTCGATGACTCGGTAAGGACGTGTCTGTGTACGCAAAGGCAGGCTGTACCCAGATGTGTGCTTGCACACAGGAGTCGTGTGTGCAGGCCGCTCGCGTGGCGCTCCCAGTTGTCAGCATCTTCTGAGGATCACATTTTGAAACACAGCGTATGTATATAACACCTTGCAGAAACTCACCTCACTCACAAAGCCTAAAGAAGGTATATTAAGGCACTTTCCTGGATGGCTGTGATATTATTCTATGAACCATTCTTGCATATCCTGATCTTTCTTATTTTAAGAAAGAACAGAATAAACAAGGTACGTTCAGCAGCATCACTTAGTGATTTCGTGTGGTTATATCAACATGTTTTATTATGTAAAACCGTTTCCTTTAGATTTTGGACACTTTTTTATTTAATTATTATTCTAAATTAGAAATACAGTGTTTATTTTGGTGTTTTTGTGTTTACTTTTTTTTTAGGAGTTGTTTTTTGCTGCATCTTTTCATTGTCTGTGAGATCTTTTCTACTGTAGTGACCAGAATGGCATTTGAGTTAATGAGGTCTCACTGAGTCTTTATGTAATGTCAGAATAACTTCTACAGATTTATCTACCATACCCCTGTAGATAACACCCTCGGGCCATGTTTGCCTTTTTACGGCTGCCAAACAGCATGTAGACTGTTTAAGCGTGTTATCCACAAGTGCCCTCCGGACTCTGTATCTTCAGTTTTGTACCCGTTTTAACTGATCAAACCTGATCCTTTGCTTTGTGGGTTTGCATTTTGCCAAGTAAGCGTGTCCGCAAGCCCAGTCGATGAACAGTGTACCCGTCACCCTGGATGGTTAATTTCTTTAGATGTAACATGCTGCTCTAGCTCACTTTATGCAAAGTAAATATTTTTTACAGTTCTGTCCTTCCACCATTTGCTCTGTGTAGGAAGGCAGCGCTTTGTCAACATCACTGGGTTTTGTACTCTGATTTTTATTTATTTATTTCAATCCAGTCCATTTGGTTGTCTCCTGTTATGAATTTTAGGCTGCAGTTGGTTTACTTTCTCACCAGTCTCACTAGCAAAAATTTCATTCAGTTTTACTTGGCTTTTTCATGTTTCTTGACAAACAGAACTTTACCCAGACCCACAGAATTTCTTTCAAGTGTTGAGGCAATGGTGATCACTGCTATTCAGGGGGAAAAAGCACAGGACACCTCAGTATTCAGACTCAGAGAGCAAAGCTGCAGGAGTCTGTCGTTGCCTGGAGCAGAGCAGCGTGTTTCCTTAGCTCACTGTTGAAGAAAAGGGAAGTCTGGCTGTGCACTGGCTGGAGACAGCTAGTGTACATAGCTTTGTGTTTCATTAGATGATTAAAGAAAAGCCAGTGATATTCCAGGTGCCCACCATTACCCAGTAGTTAAACAGCCATATAGTGGTGCTTTCAATGCCAGAGTAAGTTGGATCCAGGAGAATACTGTGATGAAGGCTGTGAATAATAAAAACAGGTTAGTATCATGCAACAGTTTATTCCCAACTAGCAAAGACTATTAGGTTATGTAGATGTACATTAGAAGGTGTAATAAGCAAATGGTTGAGCAGAGAAATACTGTGACTTCAGTTTAGCTGCTCCTTCCTCAGCCGGATTTGGAACAAGAAAAAAAAGCTCTTTTTTGGGAATGATTGCAAGTGCTAAAAGTATTCATGGATGTTGAGACCTTAAATAATAATTATTGATCATTCCAGGAAAGAAAGGGAGAATGTTGGTGGCTGTTAAGTGTGTAGTAGGATGTTTATATATTAAGAAGAAACTACCAAAGCTACTGATAAGCTTAGAAGGGGGGTTAGGGTGATGAATCAAAGTGGGAGAGGGGGAAAAAAAACAACAACAAAAAAGCAAACAAACAGAAAAACCAAGGTAGCACCTCAGGAGTCTGACTATTGCTGTCCCCCTGGGTTAAATTTCCGGTCTCTGTGCTTTAGCGGGATTTGGTAGGGTTCAGGAGTCTAGCTCAGCTGGAAGCTACAACCTGTGCTGACACCTAGCATTTGATCAGCTTTTCAGGAAAGTGGGCTGGGGGTCTATAGGGAAACAAAGCAGGTACTTCAGGTTTTAGGAGTTTTCTTGCTGCCCTGCCAGCTCTGAATGATAATTCTGAAGAGCGAGAACAGCCGTTGCTCAGATTATTTGGAAACAGAAAGTATAATTAGTCCTACCTCACATGTTCACCAACTTCTTACGTAAAATGTGTGCGAGAAAAGAAGCTTCTAAATTTCACTGGTCCTACCCTGTGGCCATGCTTCAGGATTCCTGTTCAGATAAATATCTCCCCATGTATTGCTAGGGTTTGTGCTTAACTGTCAAGGTGAGACGTATTTTGCAAAAGATACTTGTACAGCAAGATTGGAGGCTGAGGTGCTTCCAGCTTTCAAGGAATTTCATGCACCTTGGTAAGTTTTGTCCCAGAGACATGATTCAGCACTTGGGGACCACTGTAAGCCTTCCTGCAAAATCAGTGTTATCTCCATGGCAGGAAGCAGAAGCACCTGGGGTCTTGGAGTGAAAAGCCCGAATCTGTCACAGAATTGCTCTACACCCACGTGATCACAAATTATTTAGGCTAACAAGCTATGGATATGGTGCTGCTTATGTCTGAGACTCGTTTTGACTTTCAGTTATACGAGACAGCCTATCATATTTGCATCAGATATTTCTTGTGTATAAGAAATGTAGCCCAACTGTTATTTTTTTAATTGTCAAAAATGTCAATTGTTTCAGTGCATAAACATACATGAATTGTTCCAATACATATGTTGGGCAGCAGACTGCTTCAGACAGTTGTTCCTACTTTAATTCTTGTACATGCAACTGTCTTTGTCCAAAGTAATGACCAATAATTAGTTGATAATTAGCATTTGTATGCTTTGAAATAACTCTCTGTTGAAAACCTTGCAGAAACTTGCAATAGCAGTTAAATGAGATGCATAGTTATTTTGAACCTGTGACTTGTCATATTTTCTGGTACAATGCATCTTTTGTTTTTATTCTCCTTTTGTGCTAGCAGTTTCTGCAACTCTCTTCTTTTTTGTTATAACCATCTTGACATGCAAATATAAAAAGAAAAAAGTATTAAGACATTCTAAGATAATATAGAACAGATGTAACTAGCACAGGTCAGTGTAATGTTACTGCACAGCAGGGGATGTCACTTGCTTTAAACGTAACGTTCTGGTTTATCAGCCACGCGTTTTCCCCTTGAAATAAGAGCTGAGCTGATGCTGTGATGTCCACGAGCTGCCACAGCTGAAGGATAGAACAGCTGCTTTGATGCATTCAGTCAGTATGAATGCAAGGTGTCTGATAAATAGCAACTTAAACACTAACTACTCATCAATGAGCACTTCAGTCAATCAGAACTTAACCACAGGGGACTGTTTAGCTGATCATACGGAGAAAAACATTCTTTGCTTTTCAGCACTTTTCTCTGATTATTTACAGTTGAATCCATCCATGTTTGACTTCTAAAATGTAAGCAATTTTAAACTCTGTTGCTACTGAAGATTTTTTTATTTGTTCACAAAGTAAATTTAACCTGTCCTGGTTTTGCTTTGGCAATTGCTCTTGAGTAACCATCTGCCTTTAGACGTGCAGGAATTCCTTAAATTCCTTATCACTAATTCACTAATTGTTATTCTTTTTGCGTGGTGTCTTATGTCTTTGTGTTTTCTCTCTCTCTTTTCAGTCTCGAAGGAATCTTTGTGAAGAAGCCTTGTTGAAAATTAAAGGTGTTATTAGTTTTACGTTTCAAATGGCTGTTCAAAGATGTGTGGTCCGAATTCGCTCCGACTTGAAGGCAGAGGTAGGTGCCAAATAACTCTCCAGCTCTCCCATACGTTGCAGTTCTGTGACGCTAGACTCTTATGTTGCTTGTGTTTTGTTTTCTCCTGTGTATTCTTCCCCTGGTTACAGGCTTTGGCAACGGCAATAGCATCGACCAAAGTAATGAAGGCACAGCAAGTCGTGAAAAGCGAAAGCGGAGAGGAGGTAGGATGGGCCCCTTCCTAAACAGGGGTTGATTTAGGGTGGGGGAATCTGTAGTATCAGCACAACCGTCTCCGAAATATTTGATGCCAGGCACCATTTTTTTTTATTTGGGAGTATTACATATACAGAATAGGGAAGGTAAAGAGTATCTTATATCCATAGAGCAATTTTGCAGAACTTATCACTGAACTGTTTAAAAGAAGGGTAAAAATGAAGTAGTTATTTCTCTCCTTGACCTCAGGCTCTCCTGATCTGGACAGGGTTGGTTTCTTTCTAGCAGGAGTTGCTTCCATTTCATATCTACAGTGAAAGAACTTTTTTCTTAAATGCTTTGCTTGTGCAAGTTCTAAATGTAATAGATTCCAGATATATAACAGGGCCTTTTTAGATACTCAGCTTATATGTGTGGGGGCAAGAAATCTTGGAACATGCATGCCTATCATTCTGAAAGTGTGTATGTGTGTAATTTTCGCTTACTCTTTTCAGTTACAACATCTGACATCTTCTTAATCTGTTGCATTTATCAGATGCTGGTTCCGTTCCAAGATACTCCGGTCGAAGTAGAGCAGAATACAGATCTACCTGAGTACTTACCAGAAGATGAGAGCCCCAGCAAGGAACAGGATAAAGCAGTGTCTCGAGTCGGGTCGCACCCCGAAGGTGCAGCAAGCTGGCTCAGCACAGCAGCAAACTTTTTATCCCGATCTTTCTACTGGTGACTTGTGTTTGGTGTTAAGAGACTGTGTGAACCAACAGGGGGGCCAGTTTTCCATTGGTGTGGTGAACTGCCAAGTGCAATTTGCAATAAATTACCCCGAAATTTTAGGTTACGCAAATGTATGCTGCATTTTACATTTTATTGGACATTTACCCTGATAGGGCAGGGGTCAAAGAACAGAGGCCTCCAATCAAGTTGTCCTTTCATCTGTTTTTCATGTAGATTTTATTGCTTCACTTTTTAAAAATGGGTCCACTGTTGTATACCAAACATTTATGCGTACAGAGCTTTAAGTTTGACTTCACATGAAACACATGGTAAGGAAAATGCATTCAACTCAAGTCTCAGGGCCTCTGTGAAAGAAAATTCTTAATAGCTCTAGTTGTGCATTACTGAAAATGCCTTTTTTTATTTCTGCATCACTTTAATGCTACTTAATTTTCTAGACATTGACTACAGAGAAAAGCATATTCTGCCACCTTTTGCCTTTATTTTTGCCAACCATGTTCACAGATTGAGCATGACCTGTTCCCCTCTTGCTATTAAAATAGAATCACTACAGACTTGAAATTTACATCCCTTTTCTGCATATTGAATTTTTTTCCAGCTTGCCCTTAACCACTGGAGTGTTAGGAAGTAAGGGATTGAACAAATGTGTACATATGTTGTACAGTAAATAAACTAGAACATATTGGTAATGATGGCTGTGACTGACTCATGTATATAAGTAATAAATACCACTGACTGCTACTGAGGTTGGTGAAGAAGGCTGTAGCAGACAAGCTGTGCTCTGATGGAGGGATGGCCCCTGTCTCAGCGCCCTTGGCCATCGTCACTTCAGAGATGGTGTTTGCTGTTAGCAAATGCTAACTGCAACTTTATGAACTTGAAGAATAAAGCAGAACTGAATGCCTCTTGCCACAGTGCCACTGTCATAAATTTTGACTTTAACCCTTTTTACGTTTTTACCCAGTAGAAATCTGTGTAGTTACAGCCCCCTCCTTATATATTTTATGAGACTCCCGTGAAAGTAAATAAGCTTAATTCTGTGCAGTCAAGTGGCTTTACCTTGTTACTTACAGATAATGTAGGTTTAAAGATGTCTGGATAATTTTTGTGACCAGAAACAATGGTAAAAGCAAAACTCCTGTAGGTAGAGGATGATGTAGCTAGAGGATAATGTAAATCTGAGATGTTAACAAGGTCCATGTGCCTGGGAGGATTTTCGGTACAGTACTTGAGAACTGCAGTGGCACCACTTTGTTGCACCAGAGAAACACAGCTGAGGATTTCAGGAATGCAATGAACCTCGTTATACAGTGCTTTTTGTGGTAACGTGTTTACTATAATGCTAAGTCTATTTACCACTTGGAGACCGAGACAAAAGTTTAATACATCGAGAGATTATTCCCCTGTGCCTCTGCAGAGGGAATTAAATCTTTCACAGGCAGTGCTAATATTACTGAAATACAGAAGAGTGATATTGTAAAATAACAACGCAGGGCAGAGTTCACCCACTCAAGTTAATTGTCATTCTAGGACAAGAAAAGAGACAAAGCTTGTTGTCAGATTAGATGTCTCATTTTTTAATATACATAGTTTATTTTTGATTCAGGTTTACACGCACAGATTGAAAATACAGGCTTTTCAGGGCATGTATTGCTTTAACTATGTAATACTACTCATTGCTGTCTAGAATGTTACCGTACCAAATGTGTTTGAGAAGTCCTCTGTTCTATAACCATGAATGCAGAGTTTATGTTTCTGCATTACCATCTGTTTGCATTTGCATTACTGCACATCTATTTACTAAAAGACTACACCCTCTGGATATAAATGGTTCGATACCAGTAGGTATGACAGCTTGTTTGTGCATTCAGTCTGTAGGTGTGCTTTTTTGACAGTATTGCAGCTCTTGTAGAACAGTTCAAGGCATCTGTAAAAGTTTTTGAAATATATTGTAAAATAATAAAGGATAATATTACTAAACAAAATATATGACTTCTCTTGACTTTTTACATGTTCTGATGTTCTTACAAGTTTTTTTATGGTATTAGAAGTACATTCTCTTTTTCTTGGAGTTATAGCAAAGAAGAATGGAAATGTTCAGGCGTTAAGACCTCTACTTCCTTCTCTGCATATCATGATGGGGTTTGTTGCATCTGTTTAGAACATGCTTGCATTAAAGTGTGTAATACTTTGCTTAAAAGTATTCGTAAAGAGGAAGTAGAGACTAAGGACATCATCTCTAATGTGCGTCTATGTATGTATATGTGTGTGTGTATATATATATGGCCATTAGTTTCTTTGTGACTGATACTCTGCAGTGCGTATTTCAGGGGGAAAGATAAGTCATTGCAGGTGTTACTGGAGATGCAGAAAAAGACATCATGCTGTCACTAAGTTTATACTCATACTTTTTTGGAGCCTGAATAAAGGATAAGAAAGTCTTCCTTCTCCGTGAGCTTAAGAAGCTGAACAAATCCATCTACTGCAAAATTGGAGGCCTCAGCAAGGAAGCTGCTGGAAAGTCGAAGTGCAGGTATCACATTGCACCAGTTGCAAAGTGCTGATTGCCAGGGCGGCTGCCACCTGCATCAGGGTCAGGTTCCTGAATTGTCCTAGGGTTACAGCCAAGGTAAAACATAATAATCACTACCAGGTTTCTTCATAATAAGAGTAAATGCTTATGGGATAGGTAGAGGCGAAATAACTCCTAACCATGACTCTGTAAATAGCTGTCACAATCCTGCAGAATGCTTACAGGGCTGTGAAACACAACACAGCCCGGCCTTGGCGCGCCGCAAACACCTATGGCTCGCGCCGCACAGAAATAGCTCCTGCTGCCTGGGGGAGCCCATCGTGTGGGGCTAATGCAAAGGAAAACCATGAATACGTAGGAAGATGTAAACTGGCAGGTGTGAAGTACTCCCGAACTGCCTGCGATGTGAAATAAATTGTGGGTGCTCCTTTTTGCCCGTGAACAACTCTCCAGCTGTCAGCCAGCTGCGGTTGCAAACACTTCTAATAAGAATTAGCAGCAGCAGTCTTTGCCGTGCGCCCTTTGGAGAGGGCTGCGTTGTGCAGCTGCTCCTGTTCCTTCATCTGAATTTAAGTACTTTCAGTTCCTAAAATGTGTATCTTTTTTTTGCCCCCTAAACCTTCCATTAAAAAAAAAATGGGGATGAGAATAACCTCTCAGCCACTCTTGTAGGTTCTGGTTGGAGTTGTTTGGGGAAAAAAAAAAGAATGTCATTTGGCTGGAGTGGGTCAGCAATGGGTTTGCTGGAGGCTTCTTCAGGGAGGTGCAACATCCAATGAGGCTGGAGGGCGAGACTTGCAGCTAAAATTTCTGCTCTAAGTCTTGGTATAAAGCTGTTCACATGGAGCCCGCGATGCTCTGCTTGCCTAGCCTGCTTTATGTTCAGGTTTAGAATAGGAATAAAAAGATGATCACATTAACCCTCTACAAAATGCTATTTTATTCTCAAAGGGCGTCAAGGAGAAGGAGCTAGACGGGCATGCTAACGCACACCGCTGCCCCTCCAGGTGTTCCCTCTTGAAAGGGGAGAGCAGCTACTAACGGAGCACATGGCGAGCTAGCGTGGAGCCGCTGGCACCCTGCACTCGCACCAAACTTGCCCCCAGAAACGTGAGCATCCACAGCCTGCAGAGACGTGCGCGTAGTGTCGCCGTTTGCAGAGTGTGGAGAGGAATCTCCTTCCGCAAAGTCGCTCAGGGGTCCCGGGACGCACAGCAGTTTGCAGGGTCCCTCTGCTTCTCAGCTTGTGTTCAGTTGTGAAAATAAACCAAACTGCCGCCCAGATTGAGAGAGGCCTGACGCTGTGCGAACCCCGCTAGTCGGGAATAGAAAAGCAAAACGCACAGTGACTCCCTACTGAATTATAACATGTCTTAATTGTCCTCCTAACTGTCCCCCTGCTCTGCTATCAGCAGCTGGAAACCACAGTGCTGTCAGATGTCACCTCCGTCGGGTGATCTTTTGGCCGTGCGTCCTTCGCTGGGGACGAACGCAGCGTGCGCTGGTTTGTGTTAGCACAACGCGCTGGTGCGTGTGAGCCCAGGGTGGAGGACGCTTTTTTGTGGGAAGGGAGGGAAAGGAAGCTGGTTCCAGGCTTCACACTTGCAAAGGGCAGCTGCTTTTTGCCCAGGAACAGCACAAATTCAAAATTACACAACACTAAGAGTGCTACTTAGTTAGGATTATTGTTAGATTGATTTTTTTTTCTGAATAAAACCTTAAACTACCGTATTAGATTTTTGATTATAAAACCTGTATTATTACTGTGAAAGTCCCATGATTAATATTGACAAAGTCACTCACGTTCACTATCTCCACATAAAATTAAAAGCTTAGACCCTGCCCGTGGTTTTCATGGCTTTGTCTCTTTTACTACAACAAACACACACTGCAATGTTTTAGCAAACAACCATTATTGTTTATACACTGCAATTCACTGGGATGTAGTAAACTGTGTCTTTTAAGCAGTCTATTTCTTTGCATATAAAATTACTTGTAAAGCCAACTCAAGGTGAAGAGTGGCTACTACTTAACTCTCGATTGTTGGCTACATTAGGGAAACAATGAAGATATATCACTGACTCTAATAGGGGAATAGCAGCCATTTAACATAGCTGAGCATTAACGCTGTCATTTACACTGCCGAAGCAATCTTATTATTATAGCCAACGTAGCTGGTTTTGTTTCTCCGTATGGGTAGATGTTCTGCTGTATAAAATGCATTGCTGTTTGTAACAGTAAATTACATGTGCTATAAGGCCACCAGTGGTATATAAATGCAGTTATATCTGAACTCATGCACTGAGTGAACGAAATAAATTAAAGACGGATTTGAAATCTCTTTCACTGTAGTCATTTCAGTAATTGAAATGCTTTTGGCCAAAATGCAAACTTTTTTTCTAATAAGAGAGGTGAAAAAACAGTGCTTCATATGAGCCTTCCCTCTGAAAACAGTTTGAAACAAACTTCTTGAAGCATCACTTTGCATTGCCTGTCACCACAGAGAGAGGTGCATATTACCTCTTCCCTGCTACGACCCTGTGTAAGGGGCTGC